TAGCCACCGGTCTTTTGGGTGAATCATCATATTATTGTTCCTCTCCTAGTCACTTATAGATCGTTAATTCTGGGGCCTCTAACCATATGATGACAGGGGCTCACACTGGTCAGTTCGTTAAACCCAAATCCTTGAATAAACATATTATTACTATTAATGGAGAGAAATTAGATATTGTCGATTGCAATGATTTGTCATTAATTACATCTACCAATTCTTGCTTTCATCTACCTAAAACTTTCTTTGTTCATAAACTTACAACGAATTTGATCTCAGTCAATTAGCTAGTTGAGGATGGTACGTAACATTGTTTCCTTTTCCCATGATAGATGTTTGATTCAGGACTAGCGCACTAGGATGGTGAAAGGGAAGGTGCGTACATTGGGTTGGCCATTTGCCTTGGAATTTGAAAAGACACTAAGGCATTTATCAACATCCCGTTTATTTACTACCACTCCTAGTACTGAGGTTATTTGCAGAAATAATGTATGGCACTTGTGGCATAGGTGTCTTGGGCACCCCTATGCAAATAAACTTGAGTCTTTGTTTCATGATGGTTATTTGTCTTCTAAAACTACTTCTTTTAATAATGTTAATAAGGCTTGCATTTCTTGTTGCCTTATTAAGAGCCATATTTTACCCTTTCCTTCAGTTGTTGAAAATGCTTTTGTTCCTTTTAAAATAATACATAGTGGTGTTTGGTCATCTCCAGTTGTTTGTAGGTTGGGATTTAAATATTTTGTTACATTTATTGATGATTGTACTTGCTTTACATGGATATATTTATTGAGAAACAAATCCAAAGTTTTTTCCTACCTTTAAATCTTTCTAGAAAAATATAAAAAACCAATTTGATGCAAACATTGGGGTTTTCCATGCAAACTCGAGGGGTGAATACCTTGATGGAGATTTTCAAATTTTCTTGAGAAACAATGGAGTTCAATCCCAAAGATCTTGTCCTGGCACTCCACAACAAAATGGAGTGGCAAAGCACAAGAGCATACATATCTTGAGCATAGTTGGAACTCTTCTTCATGATCCCCATGCTCCTACTTCATTTTGGGTGGAGGCAACCGACACTACTGTGTACCTTATTAACATTTTTCCATCATCTGTCTTGCATAATACCCCTCATTTTCAAAGTTTGTTTCACCATTCACTTGATTTGTCTATTCTTCATGCCTTTGGTTATGTATGTTTTGTTCATCTTCCTCCACATGAACGCACAAAGTTGACTCCCCAATCAACAATGTGTGCTTTTGTGGGATATAGCCTTGACCAGAAGGGCTTCCTTTGCTATGGTCTGAAGTCTCGTCAAGTTCGCTTATCTCGCAATGTTATCTTCCTTGAGAACATGTCATTTTCTACTCACATTGTTAAGTTGCCTACTACTTCCATTTCGATACTGCATTCTTTTGACTCTAAAAGTTCTTCAGATTCGCCTTCTATTCTAGAGTTGCTCCATGTCTATTTCAAAAAGAGGCTAGCTACTCCAACTTCTATCACCCCGCCCCCTTCATCAACAGAAGTTGATCCATCATCTCTAGCCACGAGTTCTTATCCTTTTCTTGATCTTATAAGGACACCTGCACCTATCCATGATCCTCAACCATCCTCTAATCCCCTTTATGTCGCTCTTCTTGAATTTCTTGTCCTCCTGACCATTATGGTTTCCCCTTCAAACCATAGCTCATTCTTTGTTGTTTTGTATGCCACAGATATTCCCACATCATACTAGAAGGCTATGGTTGTCACGCATTGGAAAGAAGTAATGGATACTGAGTTCCAAGCCCTTATAGATAATGATACTTGGGATATGGTTCCGGCCCCTCCAGATGCCTCTCTTATTGGAAGAAAGTGGGTATATTCAGTGAAACTCAAATCTGATGGGAGTTTTGATAGACACAAGGCATGTTTAGTGGCACAAGTGTATAAGTAGGAGTACAGGATAAATTATGATGAGACATTTGCCCCTGTAGCTGAGATGACCACCGTTCATCTATTGTTGGCTATATTTGCAATTAAACACTGGGAAATTCATCAGATGGATGTCAAAAGCAAAAGGGGGAGGGAAGAAGGCACAACTGTGGCCATCGTCTTTGTTGCTTGGCTCGGGTTATTGAGAAAAACAGAGGGGGGAGGGAAAGCTAAGAATATGAAAGTTACATTGGAGACAATCTACTTATTTTTATTTCTTAATCTGCTACAATCTGGTTGTAATAGAGGGCGGTTGAAGCATACCATGCCGATGTAGTTGATTACATGCTCTATGAGGATCATAGAAGGAACAATCAACTTAGCCAAGAGATGAACTTCTACCGAGAGCATCACTACCCATTGCCCGAAGAGACTCCCCTCTACTTGATCCCTTCGTCCGATGGGTACAAAATCTCAGTGCAGAGGGAAAAAATATCTCTCTTTGCTTTGTTATTCAAGAGCTTTGTCATTCGATTGCATCCAAAGGAGAACCCAAGACATCCATGGATGCAAACCATTAGATCTGTTCAGGTGCATCCTTCATTCTTGATGCGGTGATTCGGAAGTAGTAGAAAACTTGGGTGACCGAAACAAACACTTAAACCAATTTCTTCAGGTAGATTCAGAATCAGCTCCTAGCTCCTCACTCTTTTGCAACCTTGGTGACCGGATCGGTGTATCTAGGCGCACCTCAGGCGGTATTCTTAGTGGGGTGAAGGAATGGCAAATTCAATCTATCTCTGAAATAATAAGGGTATTTTAGGAATTTTAAAATAATTACCACTCACATGATGTCACATGTGAACGAAGTGTGATAGAATATTAACGGCAATGGAGGATTTTGACAATTGTAAGAAAACTTAAGGGTAGCATAAGACAATATTTAAACAATAAGGGTACAATTTGTCAATTTCGTGAACAATAGGGGAAGTTTAAGAGATTTACCCTAATTATTATTTTGGGTATACAAGCCGTCTCAACCCATTTTTGTATTTATAGGTGAGGGTAGGTGGGTTAGTATAGGTGAGGGTGGTTAAGGGTCAATATGGATGGGTCAAGTGGTGGATGGGTTAGGATTAGGATGGGTTATGACCCTTTAACAAAGATTGATGATGGATCATGGTGGGTTGGTATTCAACCCTTACCCAACACAAACCATCCCACCCATTTTCCACCCCTAAATTCAGGCACCTTCTCTTGTAAATCTGCCTTGAATGTGTTTCGTTCCAATGGTAATACAGTTCTCCAGGCTAGGCCCATCTGGAGTTAAAGAGCTCCCACCAAAATTGCGTTTTTTAAATGGAGAATCCTTCATGAAGATATTACCATTGATGCTAGCATACAAAAACTTGGCATCCCCCTCATCTCAACTTGTGTTTGTTGCAACATTAAATCAATTGAAAGCACAGATCACCTCCTAGTGGAGAGAGTGCTAGCCAAAGGTATGGGAGTATTTTCCAAATATTCTTGAAGTCCCATTAATAAGGCACTAATTAGTTTGGATTAGAATCCTCCATTGGTTCACTCATGCTAGTTCCAATTCCCAACTCAACCAAATAATCCATCCAACTCCTATGTTAATCATCTAGGAAGTTTGGAAAGAAAGTTGTAGACATCAAATGGAGGGAGATTCTCAATCTGCTTTTATAGCCATTTAGAAGGTATGACATTGGCTACAGGAACTACATTGTTCCTTCCCCTCCACCGAGCCCACTTGGAGGGACACTGTTAGTTTGGAGATTCTACAAGTTAGAATCCTTCGTCCCAAAACCCAAAGTTGTAGAATGTTCATGTGGATTCCTTCTAAAGCGTATGGTGAAGGTCAATGGTGATGGGGCTTCAAGGGATTAACCCAAGCCCAAAGTGCTAGAGGTGGCATATTCATGAGGTAACTTCATGCTTGGTTTTGCTAGATTTTTTGGGCATCTCACTAACATGGTTGCTGAGTTGAAAGATATATATAAGGCGATCCAGGTTGCTAGTTCCATCCACCTTCAAAACCTCGTGGTGGAGAGTGACTCTAAAATGGCTATCAACATTTCAAATAGCAACTGCATTCCCCCTTGGCAAGCTTTCTATTTGGTGGATGGGGTTTATAGTATAATGGTGAATATATTGGTTGAATTTGTTCATATCCTCAGGGAAGGAAATACTCCAGCGGATTCTCTAGCCAACTTCACTTGTGGTCATTGTGGTGACTTTCTTTTTAGATCTAAGGCCATGTACACTTTTCGGTAAGTTACTTATCAGGGTAAGTACATTTACCCATGTTCTTTTATTTCCTTGTAAATAAGGCAATGACCATTTTTGCGATGTCTGCTTCAGTGAGTGCAAGCCCCGTTCGAACAGTCTTTACAGCCTTGCATTGGGAATATCTCCATACCTAAGTATTTTATTTCATGGGGAGACATTCCCAATGCAAGGCCATAAAGGCTGTTCGAATAGGCCTTGCACTTCCTGAAGCTAAGTTCCATTTTAGCCATAAAAATACATTATTAAACGGGGCATTTTTGTCTCATTCAAGTTTTGGCAACTTCCCTCTACCTTACCCAGATAAGTGATACATAGGAAAATAAAATTTCCCTGGTCCCCACATAAATTTTGAAAAAGAACATAGGATTCTTGGTCAATGGAGACCAAAATCCCATTGACCAACTTTCCCTCCTCTCAAAATCCAGAAAAAGAATACCCCGTAAGAGGGATCTCCTGTGATCTTGTAGTACCTGCTTATTTAATAATAGTTTGTTTATTCCTCATTTAAGGTTAAACTAGTTTTTTGCAAAAGGTAGACAAGTTATATGAGCTACCCTCTTTGCCTTGTATAGGTTTTTTGGAGTAAGGTTATTATGCCCCCCTCCCTTCTAGGCCTTTTTTATTTCTAAATTAATAAAATTTATGGTGGCCACCCTCCCACCAAATCGATATTATAGGAGTATCAACCCTAATATGAGAACATTTGAGCTTACATAAATTTCATATATGTACAATTAGGGGCAATTCATATAAACACACCATAACACGCGTGAAATAATAATATACTGATTTTATTCAACGATAAATGTCAGCATACATATGAAGCTGATGGCATACACTGTCTAACACTTATAAATAAGCAACAACATCAAAATACCTAGAATAGGAAAAAGAAGGGAAAATTGTAATCTACTGACGTAAAGAAGTCAGATTTGGATCACGCTAACTTGATCCAAACCAGATCTGATACCCAACTAAGGCTGACCAAAACCTGATCAAATTAGATCATGTTAAGGGCGATTTACCCCTTAATGCCTTCCATTTCCATCTGGTTTGCACCACTTGTAAGGACATTCCTTGCTGTCATCAAAAGCTCCTACAAGAGGAAAGGTGATGATAACATAAGAAACAAAAGATTGGAAGCAAAATTTATGATCCATTAGAGAAATCGTGAACCAAAACAAAATGAAAAAATAAATAAATCAATGATAAATTGATGTCACAATATATGATATCTTTAATATTGTAAAATATGAAAATACATCTCTTGTAAAATGTGAATCAATAAAAAGTAAATAAATCATGTAACATATGTAAAGCGGCTGGTTGGAATATTGATTCAATGTTCAACAAATCACTAAAAGGACTTTAGTTGGATTTAAGATTAAAATAGCAGCATAGATCTAGGATTTAGTCTGGTGTCCTACGCACTATGCAAAACTGGTTTGTGTGTTGTCCTTGTTGGGATTGTCAAGGCAAATGGGCAAACAAATAAACATGAAAGTTGAAGGATTGGAGATTGACTTGAAAGAAAAATAAACTCTCTTAATATATTATCTATTATAAATTATTTTGTACTATATATTATACCATACCATATATTTTATTTCTCAATATATATATATATATATCGGATACCCTAAAGTCAAAACCCAAACCCTATAGGGTTTTGATAAATGGGTCCTATTAGTGTCAGGATGTATCGGATACCAAAAATTTCCGTGAAATTGCCATTCCTACTTGAACCTGAGTTCATATCAATGCCCCCACATCACCTCCCCACCGTGCATATGGGACACCTATGGGGTATGCCCTATGAGGTGCTGATGTGATCTCCTTGAACCTCCCCTCAACTTTGACCTCTCCTTAAAATTCGCTTGACCTTTGGGGATAAAAGAAATTTATAAACCATTTCTATTACTTTACCATTAGATATCTAGCTCACTACAACAACTTATGCCATGGATTTAAACATATTATAATGCCAAAATTGCCCTCATATAAAATCATCAAATGTTTGATGACTAAAATAGCCATAAATCTTTAACTAAAAGGAAACCTTAAACCTATCTTACCCCAAAAAAAACAAAAAAAGAAAAAAGATGGGTTCATTTAGCCAATAAAAAATAAAGTACTAAAACATATTAATTCATATTAACAATTTAAGGGTAAAGTTGGAATTAATAAAATTGTACTAACTTTATTGGAGGAATTAGTATGATCATAATAGACATTTAACGTCTCTGTCCACTTAAAAGTAAGAGATGGAGTTTATAATGGATGAATGTAATGTTGTAGACACACCAACAATCTAATCTAATCCATCAAATTAACAAAAAATATGTCTCATGACTATACAAGAAAATGATGAAATGACAAAGAAACCTTATGCTCAATCAATGGGAAGCCTCGTGTATATTATGGTGTTCATACATTGGGCCTGATTTTTTGTTGGCTTAGTTAGTAGATATCAAAGTAATTCAGGGAAGCCACCTTGGCAAGTAGTTAAAAGAATCATTAGATATCTTAAAGGAACTAAATATGTTAAGTTAATATATTGTTGTGATAATTTAAAGGTACTATAGGTTATAGTGATGCTAACTTTGTAGGGTATGTTGATGATAAAAAAACAATTGGGTATGTCTTTTTATCTTTGGAGGAGGAGTTGTTTCATGGGCTAGTAAAAATCAAAGTTGTGTTGCTAATCTCATAATGGAAGTTGAATTCATAACCTATAGTATAACAATGTCAAAAACTGTCCAGATGAAAAGGTTTATAAAAGACTTCAGCATAATAGAGTTGTAAGGTGACCAACTCAAATATACTACAATGACAGTGAAACTATGATTCAGACAATAAATAATGGTGAAATTGACTCCAAGGGAAGGCATACTTTACTACAGATATTTACTTGACATCTACGAAAGGAAAGAAATTTGGGTAAATTATGTGCCTACAAAAACATGTTAGTTGACCCATTTAGTAAGTCCATAAAAGGTGAAAATTTCAAAAGGTAGATGTATAACTTACTTCTTAGGGGCTACCTGAATTCTTGGGCCTAAATGACCAACTGGGAGATGTTGATAGGAGCGGCCAGATGTCCTCGATTAAAATAACCTTGGTCAAAGGATAAATCCTACAGTCGATGGTTTAACCTACACCAATGAGTAAAATTGTCTTTTATATTTAACATATTATTATTATTATTATTATTATTTTTTTCATGTGATTGCTTGTTTTTCTGCTGAAAACACTATTGCCATGTCAACATAACCTAGTTGGAAAGGCCAATAGGTTGGCTAGGTAGTTAAAATTTTTCTGGATACTTAATTTATGTAGTGGGCACTTATACTTGACCCAACAGGCAGAACAGGTCCAACAAATGCTAAATCCAAGCAGACCTCATCACTATTGGGACTCTCCTAACAATAATATTTTATAATGTTAATGATATCCCACACCTATAAATAGGGCTTCTCCAAGGTTAAACACAAGGTTGCTAGTCTTTGAGAAAATAGGTCACTTTTGGACATCTACAAAGTCTTCATTGTGGTTGTGGTAATACAAATACAAATACTTATAATACAAATAAGGTTTTAGAAATATAAAATACAAAGTGTTGAATTGTACATATTTGTATTTATACTCTTTTCAAACTGAGCCCGCAAAAACTTATACTTTGTATGGATTTAAACTGTACATACTTATATTTGTACTCCTTCCATAAATAGAAAAACAACAGTTTGGAAGGAGTACAAATGCAAATATGTAGAATGCAAAACCTTATAATTTGTATTGATTTGTATGTATTTGCAATGTATATATTTGCATTTGTACTCTTCCCAAACTGAGCCTAGAGAGCAAAACAAGTGTTTTGCCTCTTTATATTTATATTCGTACGATCACAACCATAATCAAAGTTAGGGTCAATTACTTATATAATTAAGGATGGCAATTTTCCCCCATTTTGCCAATTTTGTCAGGGACCCACCTCGAGGTGGGGATGGGGATGATTTTTCCCTATGAGGATGGGGATGAGAAAATTTTCATACTCATTAGCAGGAATGAGGTGCCATGAAGAAAGCACTCCCAGCCCCATGGGGCCCTTCATCTTGGCCTTATGGGGATCCCTGCTTTATAAAACTATGGTTGAATGTATTTGAGTATAATTGGAATAGGAACATAAATTTAACTATTTTATTTTGTATTTTTTAATTGAATAAAAAACAAAATGATTAGTATCATTAAAAAATCACTAGGAGTGGGGATCTCCACCCTGAGGGGACGGGGAGGGGAAAACCCAGTGGTGGGGACAAGGATAGAGATTTTTGTGGGGACAAGAATGGAAAGTGGCTCTTTGTCCAACTGTTCCTGCCATTCCTAATATATACCGTGAAGTTTAATGAAACTACTTACACGTAGTTTAAAAAAACTAATTAAAAGTACCTTATTGACCTTTCAAGTGTTAAGGTCTAAAAGATAAAATGGAAAGGACAAAGTATCCTTAAATGTATTAAATTTTCAAAACAGGTCCCTACTTTTCCAACAAAAGAAAAACAATGACGGACTTTGCCCTTTATGGTCAAAAGTGCCTAGGACTCTTAAATTTTCAAAACATGCCCTTTGAAAGATTCATCATATGAAGCTAATCATGCCTACAAAAACACCTCTCTCTCTCTCCTAATAGTGAGCATGAGTTAGTTCAGTTTGGTTCCATGGAAAAACCTAGAACCTACCCTATAACCTTGGCAGTTTTTTAAAAATTTGATTTCAATAAATATAATATATAGTTTAAAACTTATATTATCTTTAATGATTAAATTGAATAATTTGATATCTAAATAATCATGATATATCAATACATGGTTCAAAACTTAACATTATAATTTAAATTTTGTAAATATTACCTTTTACATTACTAATTATAAACATTCAAATATTAAAATATAAACAAATGATCAAATCACTTCAATAAGGTAATGGTCAAATGAAATCATGGCCTTTATAACCATGTGTTCTTGGGTTGAAATCTTTATATCTTTAAAAGTATTTTGAGGTTTATTTTAAGGCAAATTCAATTCCAATGCCAGTTCCACTAAGGCCAATAAAGACTGGTTCATCAGATTGGTTTGAATAGGTAAATCTCTAGAGGTTAGTTTCACGAATTTGAAAGTACACCCTACCTACCCTGTAACTGATTGGGTAGGGTTAGTTCAAAGTCAATTCCATTCGGTTTCACATAGAACCTACCCATTTGTTCACCTCTGTTCTCTTATCTCTCCTCCTTCATTAAACCAACCAACATATAAAAAAATGAACTCTTTATATTGTCAGTCTATTCTTCTCTCTTTTGCCCTCGTTTTACCCCTATTTAGAACTTACAATAAAATGGTGAAGGAGCGATTTTCCCCAATTTTTAAGATTATTTTGATTTGCAAGGAACCCTATGAAAAAAAGATTGGGTAAAATTATAGATAAATACCCTTTACTTTCGAATGCAACACTTGCGTATCCCGAACTTTCAAAAATAGACACTCACGTTCACTCTTTAGTATTCCATCAGTTAAACCCCAATTTGTAAACCCTTTCTCCCTTTTCTTCATTCTTAGCTATCAACTACAGCAAAAGTGGATGAATCATTATAACAGAGAAAGGATTTCACTCTCAGGAATGATTTTTTCTTAGTTTTGAAACAGTGTTATCCACTTTTTTTTCCATGAAATTGTACTTTTTGATATCACTATACTTAGATTTCAGATTTCGTTCATTCTCACGTGATTATTATACTTAGATTTCAGATTTCTCACTTCAGCTCAGGCGGTTGTTTGGAGATTTCTTTGAACCAGCCCCGTTCTCTGTTTTGAATGAAGATTTCTTAGATTTCTCACTTCAGCTGAGAAATCTAAGAAACGAGGCGTCCTTCTTCTTCTTTAGATTTCTCACTCCAGGTCATTTTCAGAGTTTCAATTTTCAGTGAAACCCCTTCTCTGTTTTGAATGATTTCTTAGATTTCAGATTTCTCACTGCAACTCTTAGTCCGAGTACTTTCTCACTACAACTCTCAGAGGTGACACCTTGTTTTTTCTTAGCCGGCCGCAATGGTTGATCTTCTTCTTAGCAGCGGAAATGGTTTCTTCTCCGCGCGGTAGCAATGGTATCTTCTCAGGCAGCGAAATTTTATGTTTTAAAGAATTAAAAAAAAAAAAAATTATAGGCATCTCGGTAATTTTACCCTAATTTTTAACGTGAATTAATGGAAATAGACCTAAATATCCATTTCTAAATGTTCGGGGTATTGGACTGGATTTGCATTGAAAGTACCGGGTACCTAAGTGTTACTACCCCCAAAGTAGGGGTGTATATTGGATTGGATTTGGTCCAATCCGATCCAATCCAATAAGGTTCATTACAAATGGACCAAGTTCAATCCAATCCAATGAATATTTCAGACCAATTTGGATTGGTCCATTTTAATGTTTGGATTAATCTTTCAAATTCATTTTGATTTAGATTGGTTTCAACCCAAACCTGGTCCATTGAGACATATATCCTTAATTCTTTATCATAATATATCAATGGATTAGATATTGGCTTTGACCCAACCCAATCCAATGTAAATTTGTTACGGATGGACCAGGTCCAATCCAATCTAACAAATACTTTGGACTGGATTGGTCCAATCCATTAAGTCTTGTTGGTCCGTTCAATCCGCCCAAATTGATTTTGGATTAGGCGGGGGTTCAATCCAAAACCGGTCCATTGACACCCTTGCCCCAAAGTGTGCTTTTGGGGTTTTATGAGAAAGATGCTCCAGAGTGTGTCTTTGGGATTTTCCAACATATAGAAAAACGAATTTATAATCTTTTAAACATATTTTGAACTTACACATTACTCAAGCAATTAAATGGAGTTTTATGAGAAAGATGCTCCAGAGTGTGTCTTAAATAAAATATGAATTCCTATCAGTTATGATGACCAAGTTGAAGCTGAGCCAACAGATGAAATTACTTGAGATTTTCTGGGAAGATCTGTGTGCAAAGAAGGCATGCTAACGTAGATAGTGCATACTGTCTTTTTGCTTCAGAAGTATAGGAGGAAAAAAATAGCCCTAGACGACTTTCTTAAAACCCCATCGTAAAAGAAAATCAAACCCACCGTTCAATAATATTGTTATCAGTTACTGATTCCTAATCCAGACTTGGTGCTCCTTACAAATCATATAGACAAGAAAATAGAAATTCATAATAAATCAAACAAATTAACAAGACGAGAGAGAGAGAGAGAGAGAGAGTTACTATCTGGCTTCTTAGTTTGAAGAAGATGTATTGCCGACCGTAAATTGTAGGGAGGATGAATTTCAACCTGTTTATGAAGGGGAAGAGCAATATTGTTATTGGTGTTTGAAGAAGAAATCTCCCGTGCCCTTATTGTCTCAACCAAAGACGAAAGGAAAATAGCAGACAAGAGCAACACAAAAAAGAAATCACTGTTTTTAGGAGCCATGCTCGCAGGCATCTAAATCTGTCGATAAGGATAGCGATCAAAGCCTTTCCATAAAGAATATTTATAAAGGCGCATAAGAATCTTTTATTGACTAGTCGCAAAGGAATACACCTAAATTAATGGAGTTCAGATTCAGTACTCACGGCCTCACGATATCGTGTTTGCACCGTTTATACAGCCACTTGCAACCCATTATTAAGAATATCTTCATATTTGTATGTTTTTTTATTCATAGAAAGATATTTTCATTGCACAGTCAGTCTTGTGATGGCTGAATCCGAATTTGTATTAATGTTGACAAAGGCTGAATTCTAATTTTGATTAGAGGTGTAATTAGGCAGGGTAGTAGGTCTGGGTTTAAGCTCAACCCAACCCAGGCCCTACCCTAAGAATTAGGCCTGAGGCCCAAGCCAAGGTTCAAGTCTAATTTGTCCAATCTAGGACTACCCGAATGCACTAAAATTTGATGCATTCGGGTTAGGCTTGGGTTATTCAATCAGCCAATACTAAAATTTGACATAAATATATGTATTAATGTGTTCATTTACACATATATGCATGTATCCTTGCAAATGGACTGTGTCAGGCCTACCCTAAAAAAATAAAAAAACCCAAACGTTTTAGCCCAGGCCTAACCCGGTGACTGAAAATCTGAGCCCAACCAATGTAAATTGCATACTAAAGTCAGTCTAAGCTCCGGCTGGGCCCACCCAAGTTGCATTCCTAATTTTGATGAATTCTCATTGTGTAGCCTACAACTTAGCACAATAAGATCTGCACTGTTTTACATTTGGACCCAATCGGAGGTTGGAACATCATCATGCATCATCCATACTTTTTACCAAATTAACTTCGACAAATCTAACAAAATCACTGTAATTGATGAACTTCTTATACATTGTTTGTCATTTTTATTTGATTAATTTTGCTGGACTTTCCTTTGTTTCTAAATGAACGTCAAGGAAAAACTTCGTTTTCTTAGACATTGTTTTGTGTCACTCTCGTGTAATAAATTTTATTGGACTTTCACTTGTTTCCAAATGAACATCAAAGAAAAACTTCACTTTCAATTTCTACATTACTTTCATGTAATAAATTTTTCTTGACTTTTCCTTTCTTGTATCTAAATGAAAGTCAAGTAGATGGAAAATCTCATTGAAATTAAGTAAAACTGCAAGAAATAGAATGAACCGATCGATCACATTAACCCAATATCTTCATTAGAACTTGACTATTTTAATTTTTCTAATTCATACTTACTTGATCCACGCGTATTTGGCTGAAGAGAAATCTGAAATTCTCCTTTCCTAGCAACGACCAATTAGCCCAACAAGTTCTCTGACAGAAATCACATTCCTCCTAGAGATTGGAATCTTTTAGGGTTTCCAAAACTTAAGAGATAAGTAAGAAAAGGAGAAGAAAACCCCTCTCTACCTAGAGATTGGAATCTTTGTTCTTTTTTCTAATATGTGCGGTCCGGATTAAAACATCTTTCTAATATAGCAATTAGATCCGAAATTCCTTTGCCATTGTTCTTAAATCCTTGAAAATTATCATTTAGGCCCTCTCATTCGCAGATGAATTCAATTCTACCCCTCTATACAAAAATGTCCTATTCTGGTTGGGAAAACCACATTTGTATCATTGTCTAGATTAACTACCATTAATATGGGATTTGATGATGCGTGATCCGATGCTCCCTGTTGGAGGACAGCTCAAACATCTGGCTAGTGAGGTCACCTGGTCAAGTAGTAAGAAGACAAGTCAATGTCCGGGGTGCTTTACTCGGTGTGCGCACTCCGATGCTCAAGTTAATGAATTGACAGTTTTAGAGAGAGCTGAAAACAAGATTCCTAGTATTTGAGAGTTAGGCTGTGCATACATTTTCTCTCAGGGAGGAGATGAGACCTTTATATAGGCATTGTTTGGTGTGGGTTTCATGCACTGCATCGAAGATCTCTAGGAAGACATGCCTGACCGGTCCAAAGTCCTCGAAGGTAGTCACACACGTAGATCATTATTCGGTTTCCTAAAGAACATTCAATTTGGGAGCCAACTTCCGAGAGACCTGGGAGTGGCATGATGCTTGCAGAGGAGGTCAGCGAGCACGTCTAGTAAGTCGCCACCTAGACCTCAATCAAGTTGGCAAGTCCTCGAGGGAGGTCGCTTCTCACACCGAGGTCACTTCTACCGGTACTAACGAGGTACCACAGGTTAATAAGTCCTCGAGTAGGTCGCTCCTCATGCCGAAGTCCATTGGACCAGAAACAACGAGGTACCATAGGTCCACCCTGGACGAGGTGCTGCTAGCCGCCATGTTGAGATGCCTAAGTTGTGGATGAAGTGCTCGGACTAGTTCCGAGGTGTGCCTCCTTGACTTAGTTGGATCTGTATCTGTTCATGTGGCACTAAGGTGTCATGTAGCAATCCTGTCGTGCCACGTGTTGCTAAATCAGCGGAGGGCCAAATCTACCCTCATCAAGATTCATCCAAGAGTTCTACATATCAAGAATTCTCTAATCAATCAGTATGTTTTGGGGCACAAATACAAGAGTTCCAGTGCAACTAAGATTCCTCCCCAAGAGTTTAAGTTCAACTAGGATTACTCACTCATTTTGGTGTTACCCAAAGAATTGTACATGAATCTTATTATTATTGGCTATGAGGGTGCAATTTCCTTATTAGTAATCTCTAATACTGCCATATCCCTTTCATCCTCCAAACACACAAAATATGTCAACCACAATCCAATAGTTGCCTCACCAATATATTAGAATGATTGACCATTATATTGCAACCCTAAGGATTTCTTAGGTCCAAGGTGTGAGTGTCAAGAAATGGTTCACTTGGGCTGGATTGGAGTCACCACCCATGAATTGATAGAAAAAGAGGTGATGGAACCTCTCGGAGCTATGTTTAAAATCAGTTTTTCTCAATAGTGACTCCAAATCCAAGGCATCGACTAAACCAATCCCAATATACTTGAATAGGAGAGGGAAGGGGTTAAGCATCCCTCTCTCGTGTTCAATAGGTGGGGCCCACATAGAGGAGAAGGGTTAAGTAGACAAAAATCCAAAGCAAAATGATATAAGAAAATCTAGCATATATTAATGTAAAATAGAAGCATTTTCAAGTCCTGAATAAGAAAAGGTATCCAACTTTTAAAATCCTAAAACAAAAGGATCATAAGTACTATTATTAACACCATTATTATAACTTTACCTATCTATCACCATTCTATTATATATATAAATTTTTATTTATTTTATTCTACATTATATTTGTATTATTATTATTACTTCTTTTATTCATTTATTATTTTAGTTTATTTCCTTACATTTATTATTATATTTAACGGGTCAAAGTGTAAATGGGGGTTTATCAAGGCCATTGAATTGGTAATGAGCAAATTTAATGATGGATTTGAGGGTTTTTGGACCAAAAATTGGGCTTTTTTTTAGGTGGGGGGAGAGGGGGATAAATTGGGGACTTATGTGATAAACCGAACAAAAGCCGAGTGCTGACGTCATTCCATTATGTGAGAAGCATAAAGGATTGAAAGAGTAAGTCCACTATGGTTTCAGCGAGAGATGCTATTCTTGATCACTAAAGGGAATCTATCTAACCGCTTGAAACACTCCATTTTACTTGGAACAATAACAATCAATTCTTTGTAAAACATTCGTGGTAAAGGGGCCATCAGCCATCTGATCTAGCCCAAATTAAAACATCACATGGTCAGGTCAATAATTGGTTATAAAAGAAATGTTACCATTGTAGATGAATTTCAATGACAAAGGGTGATTGTACAGCATTTCAAACACCACACTATCTCTAAGCACTCTAATTACTGGGTTTGCCTTCAAATTATACATAATGTCAGCCTTTTCTACTCGAAAAATGCAAGGCCATGCGACAAATTCTCCCTGGTTTTCAAAGAGACAAATTAGCGTTTCACTAGAAATTGCGACACCACGGGACATCCATCTCTTCGTGTGACAATTATGCACAGGACAGTTACCCAAGTATTATGTTATCGATACGGTACTCCTGATACGAGGCATATCGCATCCGTATTTATAATCATGGATACAAGATACATTACGGATGATGCACAATCTGGCCGGTCTTAGCTGTCAATGATCTTGCCTCTGAACTGAATAACAGAGACCTGAAACGGAAGGAGAAGAGAAACTCCGGGGAGAACCCGACGTAAGGGCTCCGAAGCTCAAGTTAGAATCCTTCAAAGGCAAGATAAACCAGATAGCGCAAAGTTAGCATACCTCGTTCCTGGGGGG